GAACGGTCTGTTTAAAATGAATCGAAGCATCAGACTAAAAAAGCTTTTGAAAATAACAGAATATTTCGATTAAGGTCAAAATATAATATTTGTAAATCTGACTCAGTGCCTCACCAGCCATGAACCTCACCGCACGTCACTGTTAATTACACATATGCGCACTAAATGACTGCTATCGTGTCAGCAGCGGGACCTTAGCATATATATAGGATATATACAAATACACAATAATGGACACAGACTATAAAGGGCACACAGTTTCATTCACTAATGAAAGTCAAACATGTTTGTTTCCACTGTTTTATTGTGTGCCTGTCGCGATAAGCAATTCATTGACTTATCGTACGATAAATGAAAATGAACTCGATAACTTTTCTGACCTCGATACATTTCCATTGACATGAGGATGTGACTAGCAGTTTGAAAGGATGTACTTGAATTATTATTATATGTTATCATTATGTCAGTGGTCTAAAATGGTCATACAACGGTGCCGACAATATTATCGTTTATCGCAATAATCTCCGGGAAAATGTATCCAACAAAATGAATTATCGTGAGAGGCCTATACATGAAACACACACACACAAACAAATCTACAGACTTACTCCAAACTGCCAAATATATTAATGAACACACTCTCACTCTCATATACTCTTTGCCTCTATTTTGGCCTAGTAGAACAATAAGCAGCAGACTTTTACTTTTTATCATTTCTACTGGATCTCAGATCTGCGCATGCGCCATGCGGGTCGGCAGTTGCGGCTCCAGAGTATTTGTGTTGGGTAATCTATGGTAGGGCTAACCCATACAGTGGTGGGGCTCAAGTCAGTATTTGCAATGTAATTACATACACGCTCCCCCCGACAGTGAAACGCCACGCGTGAGGTTTAGATCATTTCCCTGTCTCAATCCAAATTGAACTGTATGAAATAAAAAGGCACATTTGTCTTGTAGTAAATAAAAAGGGCGACCTGGAGCCAATCCTGCAATTTCCCCACAGGTGAAAGAGTTGACATGCTGAAGACCCAACCCCTGCAGGGGGGTCTGGGGGGATTCTCCCCCAATAAAATACACATTCTGGTACTCTCTTGAGAAGAAAAATAAATAAATCTATTACTACACGACACATTTAAAAAAATGAATGCCATTTTAGTTTTGTGTGACTTTGTTCTGAAAGCTGAAGCTGCTGCTCCTCACAGAGAGAAGAGGGAAGAGGCTGAATGACTTTACATTGTGGATAAGGGTGGATAGCAGGCGCGCCGGATTCATTTTAAAAGTGGGGGGGCCAAAAAAGTGCGTGTGTATGGCCCAATCCCAAACCACGCCCTACACCCTACACCCTACACCCTACACACTCCCCCTCCGTGACGGAGTGAACTCCGTGGAGTGACACATGAGGCTCCCTCCTGTCAGATGGAGGGAGTAGATACAGCGGCAAGCTTTGGGACAAACTCCCCTCTCTCCGGCAGAAACAGGAAGTGCCGTAACTGTATCAAAGGTTTCAAATCAGCATCTCTTTGACACAACATGTAAATTAATAACTCAAATAAAACTCCAAACATCTCTAATTATGTTACTGTTTTGTAAAGCTCTTTTAGTTTTAAACCTGATGTTTATAAGTTTCTTCGTTTTTGCAGCAGTCTGTAAATATACACAACTTTATAATAAAATGCACACATTGACCTTTTTCTAGACTAAACACAGGTACGATCCTCAGTTAAAACAATATGAGGTTATCATGAGGTTGTTAACATCGCAGTTTATCAGTGGATGTTTGCTGGAAGCACAATAACTGCATGTTTTGCATTGCTTTTAAATGTCAGTTAATATAGTGGTGAGAGACTCCCGATACATTAGATTTATAAGTTCATTAATTGTCTCATGATGCATATTTCCCGGTGAGCATGAAGCTCTTCAGAGTGGGGTTTTTCTCAGCTACGAGTTCTTTTGGAAATTGCTCTCCTTATCCGGCCTGATTATGCCCCCTGATTGCTCTGTCGGGTTAGAAACTGCAGACAGCGCAGTTGCTCCTTCATTCCATCTCTTCTTTTTCCTGCTCAATACGCTGTTGTTTGACAAGCTGTATGTTGACTGGTGTTTGACTGAAGAAAGCGCACTTTAATACACTCTCTGTGGAAATGAGACTTTTCGTGGCTGTCCAGGAGGCTTGTCACTTTTTCCAGTTACTATAACTCCGGTATTAACAATCATCTCCACATTTTGAGAAAGTTACAAGCCGTTTGACAGCAAACCTGCATATTTCACAGAAGGCCCGTTTAGTGGTTTTGCAAAGAATTAACCACTCTCTGTTTTTGTACCATTCTGCGTTGAAGTACCTTTCTCTTTGCCCAGACGATCTAGCGGTCAGTTAGCTGCAGCTTTACCCGTCTCAATGTCCCGACAACAAACCTCCATGCAGTCAGAACCAGCCTGTTTCGGTTCAACGACGGCGGTGGCGGCGGTTTTGACAGTCTCTGCCGCAGAGCTGCTGCTTTTGGGTTCATCTGGCTTCGCTGGTTCTGTGATTGATGAAGGTCCAGGCTCCGGAGACGTGGATGTCAGGGATGTGACCTTCCAGTTGTTAATTTAAGTTTAGATTGACTGTATTTAGTTTTCTTCTGCGCTGGTTCTTCTGACTTGTTTGCAAGTGTATCTATTCTTTCTATCTAGGTTAACGGCTGACACACACAGAACAACGTAACAAATAAAGTAAACAACGTAACGAATAAACAAATCTAAGCTTTTTTATTGGTTGTAATTGACATGGATACATTTGAATGGTGTGACAATGTCCTGTTTGATTGGGTTAAAATGTACATATTCTTCCTGTTATGTCTGCCTGCTTTATTTTACCTAATGCAAACCTGCTCCATCGAAATCAGTCGCATTGACGCGAAGACACATTTTGAGTTGTACACTGTTGGAAAGAGGAGATTCATAACTTTCTAATGATATCAGGATTGTTGTTGTTCTCCAAATATTAAGCAAAATATGTCACATTATATAATGACTGTTACAGAGTCATCATTTTGAGAGAAAGGCCTTTAAAGTTTCCTCTTCTCTGGATCCATCTGATTGATTATTAGCGGAGCAAATGATCAAAATAGTACGAAGGGAAGATAGGGGAAGCCCGCGAGTGAGAGTGTGTATACGTGTGTTTGTGTATTTTTGCGTTTGTGTGTGTTGTGTTTGTTTCCCGGGGAAAACACTCAGGAGAAACACCTGCTGTTCTGCCTGCAGTGACGTTACGTTACTCCGTTGCTTGTAATTATGTCTACGAGCTTCAAAGTTGTATTTATCATCTGAATTTGCAGAAACAAGTTTAATATTCTGAAAGCCAAGACTTTGTTTATTTGAAATCAGATAAAAACAAACTGTAACGGACCCTGCCGTGTTATATATGATTACTATACGCCTTACATTCATCATGTCAGCAGAGGGAGGGGAAGCGGCGTGTGGAACAGCAGAGTGGCGAGTGAGAGCTTTACAAGCTTCAAACATGCCTGTAGCTAATGAGATATAACAATCAAACATAACAAAATATACACAGCTATATCAGATCGCGTTTTAGAAGCGACTTTAGAGTAGAGGGGAATTATTGAAACGGGATTTGTACAGTGTTCCACGGCATCCGCCGCTGCGAAAATGTGGGGCAGGGCTGAAAAGTGGGGGGGCCAATGGCCCCCTGGCCCCCCCACTTCCGGTGTAGGTACCATATGTGTTCGGCCTACCAGATGTGTTCGGGGTCCGTTACGCTTACCAATGACGTCACGCATTGGCTGTACGGTAACTCAAGAGGACATTTTACACGGTCAAATTCCGAATGTATTGAAACTCCAGACTCAACGTAAGAGCTTGAGCCTCTTCGGGGGATGCTAACATTTAAACATACACTTCATTCTTTACTTTGTCCGTTATTATATGTAGAAGATATTACTTTTTTCTCCGTCATGTTGTTTCCATAGCAACAACTTAGATTTGTGTTCTACACACCAAAATACGTTATTTGAACACCCCTCTCGATCGATTTACAAGAAAAATTAGTATGGCCCGCCCTAATACACCAACGCAGTTTTTAAAGATATACATTTTTCAACACAGAATCATTTACCAAATTACACTATATCCAATCATTTTACGAGTCAGAAAATGCTATCTGTTCATTGCAGTTATTGTTTATTGAATTAGATTACCATGAGCTCAACATAATTATGTAGAGTACAAGTCCACAGCCAAGAAAATGTTATTTGCATATCATTTTATTTATGAATATGGAATTATGGAATTCTAACACTGGAATTTGTTATTATTTACTATAAATTTATTATATTATTCGGGTACAGCCCTACTGTACCAAAATATCCGAATATTCGTTCGTTGGAGTACTATTCGGGTTTCAATTTCGTTATTCAGATATTCGTTTTGTTTGTTTTTTCCCCATTTTTTTTTCAAATTGAATTTATTGAAATCTCTAATATCAACGTAAGAGCTTGTGCCTCTTCGGGGGGTGCTAACACTTAACCATAAACGTTATCGTTTACTTTCTCCGTCTTTATATGTAGATATTACTTTTCTCCGTTAATCTCTGTCACGTTGTTTCCAAAGCAACAACAACTTCCTGTCAACTGCGCTAACTCTCCTTCAAAATAAAAGCATGTCCATAAATAGGACATGCCAAATTACACTTAAGACATATACAACTGCAACGAATGTAACAAACACAATGCGATATCCTTTTCAATTTCAAAGAACACAAATTGGGTTACATTAACAAATAACTATAAAACAACAATACTGTAGAACAGCGACGTGTAGTCAGTGGAGGCAGGGGAGGCAGAGCCTCACCTGTCATACTCCAATGTAACGGAAAAACAACTAAAGAAAAACGAAATAGTAATAATAATAAAATGTCTCCACTGATCTGTGTTGTAAGTGTGATTTATGTTTGATTCCAATCGCTTTTTATAGTCAAAATCGAGCGGAGACCCAGGGCAGCTATGGTGCACGAAAATGCTAATGTTTCCGCCTGTATGGAGGCTTTCGGGGTGGCTGAAGAGTGGGCTGCGGAGCCCGCAAGCACCCAGAGTAAAGCACAGAGGTTTAACCAGCAGTGGTCGCCTAACAGAGCTAAACCTGTACAAATGAACTCTAGAGAAGTCATCTGCCACAACTGCTCTGGTGTGGGGAACATACAAAGGAACTGTCCCTCTTCCCGAAAACGCAAACAGCATGCACCTAATAACACTCCAGCTCCTGACTCAGGTACGGTGGTCACATGCAATAAAGGCTCTGATGATGACATGAGTATCCGGATACTGATACAGGGACATGAACTGTGTGCTCTGCTCGACTCTGGCGCTCGGAGGAATGTACTCCCCCTCCGCCACTTCAACGCCATTCCTGTTGAATCGAGGCCTCAAATCCAGCCATCCATCGTACAAGTATTACAAGGCATCGGTCCCGAGGGCATCGCTGTCCGAGGGGAAGTCAACCTGCCAGTTCAAGCCGGAAGCAAGGTAACCAATGTGAACTTTATTATAGCAGACACAGCTGAAAATACAGAGGTTATCCTGGGGCACCCTTTTCTGCTGCAGTCACATGCTCACTTGGACTATGGTCGCAGGGAAATCACCCTCTTCGGTGAGAGAGTGCCTCGCTCAAAACCCAGCAGACAGCCTGAAGTGCACCTCGTCAGGGTATCCCGCACAACAGTATTGGAGTCGGGGTGTGAGTATGTGGTGCCTGGTACTGCCCGCCTCCGCTCTGCTGTTAACAAAGATATGATGCTGACCCCCACTAAAGGCTTTGTTGAGAGACAGCACGTCCTGGCAGCCCACATTGTTGTACAGACCCGGCATTCCTCCAACATTCCCATGCGGATTTACAATCCTGGTCCTGCATCTGTTACTCTGAAGAGAGGGGTGGTGGTCGGAGTTCTTCAGCCAGCGGAGGTGTTGGGAGAAGTGGATCTCCATCCGACCAAGTCCCCAGTAACATCAGACCCCAATGACTTTCCTGTTATATCTGTGCCCAGTCATCTACAGCAGCGGTTTTCAAAGTGTGAGGCGCGCCTCCCCTGGGGGGCGCCAGAGAGCTTCAGGGGAGGCGCAGCGTGAGAAAAAAATAAAGAGAAACAATGAAATCTAGCTCGTTAACTTCAGCTAACTTTATGCGAGCGGCAACATGGATCGATTTTTAGTGAAGTTACCTAAAGTGAGAGAGGAGACAGCGTCTGGCCACCCCAGTTGGCAGCTTTGTTTTGAAATAAAAGTTGTGGCTCATCGGACATTTATCAGAGAAAATCCCTGATGTCCGAGGGCAAGTGAATGCAGCACAAGACGCGAGCCTTGTAACCCTGGCGCGAGCGAGGAAATGTGATTGGCGGCGATTTCATTTGAACGGGCGGCAGAAAACGAGAAGCATTCGGACCCAAGTACACGGAAGGAATAAGGTATTTGCGGTCTACAATGACAGAGAAGAGACTGTCAAGTTTGGCTGTGCTCAGCATTGAATCAAAACGCACTAAAGCTTTGGATGTTAATACGTTTGTGAGGCGTTTTGCTGAACAAGATGGTAATCGCCGCATTCAGCTGTAATAGGCATGCCAACTTGATGCTCTGCTCACGGATGACTCGAGCATTAAAAACTGTTAAGATGATGACCTTACGTGTGTACATATATTTTTTTCTTTGTGGGGGTCTGCCCTGAGAAAGTCAAATAAGATGGTGTGTAAAACTACACTGCCCAGACAAAAATAAGTAACCACTTTGATTTAACTAGGCCAGTAGGTAAGGGCATTCCACTGGATAATAATACCCCTGCATTATAGCAACAACAATAATAATAATAATAATAGCAATAATAATTGGGAGGGGGGGGCGCGGCTGTTCTTATATTCTCTGAGGGGAGGCTCACCTTCGCACACTTTGAAAACCCCTGATCTACAGGACATGTATGCAGAGAGCTGTGCTCACCTGTCTGAGGAGGACAGAGCCGGGCTAGCTCACGTGCTACGGAGGTTCGGTGATGTCTTCTCCACCGGGCCCACTGACCTTGGCCGCACCAGCTTAGTGCAGCACGACATACAGACTACTCCTGGGCAGCCTGTGAAGCAGCCGCCACGCAGAATGGCCTGAGACAAACAGATTGCTGCAGATCTGCAGGTACAGCAGAGCCTGGAGTCTGGTGTAGCTCGTCCCAGCAACAGCAGCTGGGCTGCACCTATTGTCATGGTGAGGAAGAAAGACCAAAGCCCGCGATTATGTGTGGATTACAGACCCCTTAACGAAAGGACTATTAAAGATGCCTATCCCCTGCCACGTATTCAGGACACTCTGGACACACTCTCCAATGCCAGGTACTTCAGTACACTAGACTTGACTTCAGGCTACTGGCAGGTGGAATTGACACCAAGGGCCCGCAAAGCCGCAGCTTTCTGCACTCGCAAGGGGCTATTTGAATGGAACGTCATGCCCTTTGGACTGTGCAATGCACCGGCCACGTTTCAGAGGCTAATGGACAGAGTATTAGTGGGATTGCAGTGGGAGACCTGCTTGGTGTATCTCGATGACATCATCGTCCTGGGGCGGGACGGTTCCGAAATGCTAAGCCGGCTCAGTGAAGTGTTCGCCAGGCTACGAGGAGCTAACCTGAAGCTGAAAAAGTGCTGCCTTTTCCGGGAGAAGGTGGGTTACCTTGGCCACATTGTCTCAGCCCAGGGTGTGTCTACTGATCCAGAGAAGGTGAAGAAAGTGGCAGAGTGGCCTACGTCTCGTAACATCTCTGAGGTACGTCAGTTTGTGGGCCTGGCATCATATTACAGACGCTTTGTGGAAAACTTTGCTACGATAGCTAAACCTCTTCACGAGCTGACCAAAAAGTATGCACGATTTAATTGGACAGAGGAATGCCAGGAGGCATTCACAGAGCTGAAAGGACGACTGTCAACAGCTCCTGTCCTAGGCTACCCCCTTGACAGACTCGACACCGATGCTAGTGACTGGGGAATCGGAGCAGTCCTCTCCCAAATCCAGGGGGGTGAGGAGAGGGTGCTAGCCTATGGAAGCAGGAGGTTGTCAAAACTATTGCACCACCAGACGTGAACTTCTGGCAGGCGTGGAGTTTGCCTGTCACTTCAGACAATACCTGCTTGGCAGACCATTCACTCTCCGGACTGATCACAGCAGCCTGCGCTGGTTAACCAGGTTAAAAGAACCAGAGGGACAGCTGGCCCGCTGGCTAGAGAAGCTGGCAGAGTATGATTTTCAGGTGGTTCATCGACCGGGGAGACACCACCAAAATGCAGACGCACTTTCCAGGAGGCCCTGCAGGGAGTCGTGCCCCTGCACAGTGCCAGAGCATGACAGCGAGCGACACCAGCATAAGGGGGTCCAGTGTGACCTGACAGACAGTACAGCTGAAGTTGCCATATATACTCCCACAGAGCAACCTCTAGTGGGGGTAGCTGAGCCAGAGTTTCCTCCAGTGGGGGTAGAGGATGCCTGCAGTGACAACAATAACAACTATGACCTGCTAAATCCAAGCATCAACTGAGTGAGTGATATTCCCAACACCAGTTTATTCTCTGGGTGGACTCAAGAACAGCTGAGAATGGCTCAGGAATCTGACCCTGACATTGCACCAGTAAAAAAGTGGATGGATGAAGGGAGAGGCCGGCTGCCATATGCAGACATAGCCCACTTGAGCCCCGCTACCAAATCATACTGGGCACAGTGGAATAGACTTAACCAGAAAGATGGAGTGCTAATGAGGAAATATTATAGCACTGAAGGAACAACGTTTTACCCCCAGATTGTGCTGCCTCATATGTACCGCAGTTCAGTGATGGAGCAGATGCATGATGGTCCTGTGGGAGGCCATTTTGGAGTAGAAAGAACTCTCACACGCCTGCAAACCAGATATTTCTGGTATAACATGAAGGACGATGTCACACTCTGGTGCCGCACCTGCCCCAGCTATGGGCACGGTGCGAGTCGGTGCCCCCATGGAGAGGATTGCAGTTGATGTGATGGGCCCTTTAAATGAAACAGAGAGACACAATAGCTACATACTAGTAGTGCAAGACTACTTCAGTAAGTGGGTAGAAGCCTATCCAATCCCAGACCAGCAAGCATCCACGGTGGCAGAAAAGATGGCCTCTGAGTGGGTGTGTAGGTACGGAGCTCCCCAGTGCTTGCACAGTGACCAGGGCACACATTTCGAGTCAGCTGTTTTCCAGGGGATGTGCGAGCTGCTGGGGATTGACAAGACTCGAACTACCCCATTTCACCCACAGTCTGATGGACAGGTAGAGCGCTTTAATGCCACTCTGCAGAAAATCCTGGCTACTACTGCAGACAGATGTCACTGGGATCTCATGATGCCTTATGCACTCATGGCTTACAGAGCAACTCCACACAGCTCCACCGGATTGACACCAAATATGATGCTTTTTGGAAAAGAAGTCACTGAGCCAGTCGACCTGGTCGCTGGTTTGCCACCTGACAATGACAATATCGACACTAACACCCCCCCTCAATATGTCATGAAACTGAGAGAACGTCTGGAGCTGTCTCACCAGCTGGCACGAGAAGCTCTTGGGAAATCTGTTGAGCGAGCTAAAAAACAGTACGACAAAAACATTTGTCAAACCCAACACAAAGTGGGAGATGCAGTCTGGCACCTGATTAAAGGCACCAAAAGGGTTAAAAACAAGGTACGAAAGTTTCTGCCATCCTACGAGGGCCCTTACTTCATTGTAGGCATGTTGGATGACCTGATCTATAGACTCAAAAAGAGCCCCAGAGCCAAAGTCAAAGTTGTCCACCATGACAAGCTCAAGCCTTATTATTCCAGGACCCCATTAGACAACAGCTGGGTGTTCAAAGACACAGAAGCCTGGGCGCCTGTCGAGGTGCCGCCCCCTCAGCCAGACCTCAACTCATCTGACACAGTCATCGGGCCTCTCCACCTGTGGGACCCCCCATCAGACGCAGAGGACCCAGCTGTGGAGGCCCTCGAGGACCCAGCTGTGGAGGCCCTCGAGGACCCAGCTGTGGAGGCCCTCGAGGACCCAGGTTCTTCACTGCCAGTTACGCCGAGCAGCAGCTGGCTTCATGACAGACTTCCTCGGACTCAGCGCCCTTCCAGGGCCCCGGCCAGTGGTCCCCTACGGATTTCCACCCCTCTACAGAGACCCCAGCGAGTCCGCAGAGTTCCTGACATGTTAGGTGACTGGGTCAGTCACTAGGGTTTGTTAAAGTTGAACCTGAGTCAGGGTGTCAGCAGGTTTGTTCCTAACTCAGTAAAGGAAAACAAAGTTCCAGAGTAATTCTATGCTCTTAAGCTAAAGTTATTTAATTATATTGTTATACATCCACAGTTTGTGGCTCTATTTCATTTAGTTGCCTGTGGTAATGAGTAATGTGGATAGTGTTTTACTGCTTTGACACTTGATGCAGGATGTAACTGGTTAGAGAAACCAAACAGATGGTACAATTGTAATGCCTAAGAGCCACATCATATATAGAGTGAAATCACACAGTGTTGAATTTAACTGGGTTGATTAACTACATCACAGTATGTTATGTACATGTCAGCATGTGTGTTTATACACCTTTGAAACGTTACAAAAAAAGGATCTATGCAGTATGCTTCGTGGACATTTGTATGGACATTGCCTCATGATTCAAGGAAGACGCCTTCAAGGACTGTGGGAAATGGGGATTATTGTGGGGAATGTGTTGCCATTAATGTTTCATGCTTTCCTTTTATAATGTTTACATGCTGGAGTGATGTTAATGGTTGTTTTATCATCATCCAGAGTGGGGGTAGTGTTCCAGGCTTGGCCTGTCACTTTAAGAGTAGCAGCCGCAAGGGGTTGTGGGTTTTTGGAAGTCTGGTGTGTGTAAAATGTGATGGCCAAGGCGAAGTGCGGAGGTATGAAGAGAGAGACGAAAGTATAGAGAAAGTGATCAGAAAAGGAATAGTGTGTAGTTTGTATGTATTCAATTCAGTGTCAATGTAATTGAAGAACCTGAATAAACGGAGGTTCTTCCCACGGCACCCGAACGCATCGTCTTCATCCTTTTTCCCCTCGAAATATCTGGACAGCTAGTTACCGGCTGACAACGAGCCAAGTGAGAAACCACCGGTGTGTATCCGAAACTACGGTTTCGGTGCCGAGATACCGTCAGTATAAAAGGTAACATAATGCATGTTTTCTGCTATCTTTGATGAGTGATAAAAATAAAATGTTACCATTAGTTCTTAATGAAATTGATACGGTTTGACTTTGTATTAGTTTGCCTACTACTAACAATACATTGAAGTACTTTTACTGTGTATTTATTGAGAAATACTCTGTCAAAGTCCCCTGCTGAGAACAAAATCAAGCCACTTCTGCTAAGTTTGATGAGGGAAAAAAATATGTTTTGCCATTAGTTCTTCGTGAGATTGACACTGTTGGACTCAGTACTAGTACCACAAGTACTATGAAGTACTTGTGGTACTTTTACTGTGTACTTTGTGAGTAATCCTCTGTCAGAGTCCCCTCCTGAGTACAATAATGCATGTTTCTCTGCTATTTTGAATCAGCGTTAAAACACCTTTCTCATGAGATCCAATATTATTGGACAGAGTACTTTAAGAGGATGGTAGACATGATATCAGCAATACTTCCAGTCAGTACTCCGGCAGCAGCATTTTCACACCTTGGAAAGTCTTTAGAGTCTGGCCTGGACAGCTGGTCTATCCTTCAGCAAAGTGACGCTCCCTTGTGACTCTGGTTGGCCTCTTATGAAGCTGCTGTCTTTTAATATATGATTATTTCTCTGCTCCTAGTTCATTCCTCTCAGATTCTTCCATCAGTCCCAGTCATTGCATGTCAGTCAATAGAGCTTCGAAAAATGTGTCCAATTCAACAAAATGTTTTTGTGAAGGCCAGAGCTAAATTATAGATTGTTTGATTGTGTAATTACAAGGTGAGAGAAAAATAAATCCACATCCTCCTATTTAACTTATTTTATTTACTTTTCCATGTTGTACATATACTTACTTGTATTACATGTTGAACCACAAATCCTTTCATCTGCTGTATTAATAAAGTTGCCACGTGTTTTCAAATTCAAGTTAAGGCACTATCTGTGCAGAACATTACAAATATTCTTCATTTGCAGTATTTTAAAAGTGTTCAGAAAGACTGCATCAATTATATGCTATATATATAAATATATATATAATATCAATATTGTTATTAACTTAAACCAAAGTCAATTTAAATAGCGGGCAAAAATGGGATAATTGCCATGGATGTGGTGTTTGATATAGTTTACGTTCAATTTTAACTATTTTAGGCAGAAAAACGTATATTGACTAAAACTTTTTTAATAATTTACTATAATTTAGAAAGGTTTTTATGAGAAATCATTTCAAAAGTAAACTTCTTTTTCATTTTATATTTCAATTTGAAATGTTTGCACACAACATTATTAATTTATACATTTGTATACATTTTTTAAATTATGAATCCATTTATTTTATTGTATTTCCTTGAGGCTGGGGAAGATATCCAGCATGTGGTTCAACATGTAATACAAGTAGTAGTAGTAGTTTGTTTGTGGAGTTTAGCTTCACTGTGTTGTCTTTAGCTACCGGCTAACAGTTAGCTTCACTGTGTTGTCTTTAGCTACCGGCTAACAGTTAGCTTCACTGTGTTGTCTTTAGCTACAGGCTAACAGTTAGCTTCACTGTGTTGTCTTTAGCTACAGGCTAACAGTTAGCTTCACTGTGTTGTCTTTAGCTACAGGCTAACAGTTAGCTTCACTGTGTTGTCTTTAGCTACAGGCTAACAGTTAGCTTCACTGTGTTGTCTTTAGCTACAGGCTAACAGTTAGCTTCACTGTGTTGTCTTTAGCTACTGGCTAACAGTTAGCTTCACTTTGTTGTCTTTAGCTACAGGCTAACAGTTAGCTTCACTGTGTTGTCTTTAGCTACAGGCTAACAGTTAGCTTCACTGTGTTGTCTTTAGCTACAGGCTAACAGTTAGCTTCACTTTGTTGTCTTTAGCTACAGGCTAACAGTTAGCTTCACGGTGTTGTCTTTAGCTACAGGCTAGCTTCACTGTGTTGTCTTTAGCTACAGGCTAACAGTTAGCTTCACTGTGTTGTCTTTAGCTACAGGCTAACAGTTAGCTTCACTGTGTTGTCTTTAGCTACAGGCTAACAGTTAGCTTCACTGTGTTGTCTTTAGCAACCGGCTAACAGTTAGCTTCACTGTGTTGTCTTTAGCTACAGGCTAACAGTTAGCTTCACTGTGTTGTCTTTAGCAACCGGCTAACAGTTAGCTTCACTGTGTTGTCTTTAGCTACAGGCTAACAGTTAGCTTCACTTTGTTGTCTTTAGCTACAGGCTAACAGTTAGCTTCACGGTGTTGTCTTTAGCTACAGGCTAGCTTCACTGTGTTGTCTTTAGCTACAGGCTAACAGTTAGCTTCACTGTGTTGTCTTTAGCTACAGGCTAACAGTTAGCTTCACTGTGTTGTCTTTAGCTACAGGCTAACAGTTAGCTTCACTGTGTTGTCTTTAGCAACCGGCTAACAGTTAGCTTCACTGTGTTGTCTTTAGCTACAGGCTAACAGTTAGCTTCACTGTGTTGTCTTTAGCAACCGGCTAACAGTTAGCTTCACTGTGTTGTCTTTAGCTACAGGCTAACAGTTAGCTTCACTGTGTTGTCTTTAGCTACAGGCTAACAGTTAGCTTCACTGTGTTGTCTTTAGCCACAGGCTAACAGTTAGCTTCACTGTGTTGTCTTTAGCTACAGGCTAACAGTTAGCTTCACTGTGTTGTCTTTAGCTACAGGCTAACAGTTAGCTTCACTGTGTTGTCTTTAGCTACAGGCTAACAGTTAGCTTCACTGTGTTGTCTTTAGCTACAGGCTAACAGTTAGCTTCACTTTGTTGTCTTTAGCTACAGGCTAACAGTTAGCTTCACTGTGTTGTCTTTAGCTACAGGCTAACAGTTAGCTTCACTTTGTTGTCTTTAGCTACAGGCTAACAGTTAGCTTCACTGTGTTGTCTTTAGCAACCGGCTAACAGTTAGCTTCACTGTGTTGTCTTTAGCTACAGGCTAACAGTTAGCTTCACTGTGTTGTCTTTAGCTACAGGCTAACAGTTAGCTTCACTGTGTTGTCTTTAGCTACAGGCTAACAGTTAGCTTCACTGTGTTGTCTTTAGCTACAGGCTAACAGTTAGCTTCACTGTGTTGTCTTTAGCTACAGGCTAACAGTTAGCTTCACTGTGTTGTCTTTAGCTACAGGCTAACAGTTAGCTTCACTGTGTTGTCTTTAGCTACAGGCTAACAGTTAGCTTCACTGTGTTGTCTTTAGCTACAGGCTAACAGTTAGCTTCACTGTGTTGTCTTTAGCTACAGGCTAACAGTTAGCTTCAGGTATGAAATCAGAACACATTTCAAACAGTAAATTGAAGTTATTTTGAAAAAAAGGAACTCGGTCAGAGTTTAACTCTGAAATGTTTTAGTGCATATTTAAACATTTAATCTCCCGATGGCTTAAAACTGATTTACAGGTTTCATCATCGTATCCCAGAATGCTTTGCTTCAGTCTTACCATTGATTTGACATGCTAATGAATCAGCTCGTTCACATCCATCACAAAGATTAGTAAACATTTTCTTTCAGAAAACAGATATTCCTTCACCGGCCCGAAAACACACACTGTCACATGAACTTCAGTAAACCTTCAGATGACCTTCAGATGACCTTCAGTGAACCTTCAGGTGACCTTTAGTAACTCAGATGACCTTCAGTACCTTCAGGTGACCTTCAGTAAAACTTCAAGTGACCTTCAGTACCTTCTGTAAATATGGAGTTAATCTGGAGTTAAAATTAAGTTAATCTGAAGTAGATCTGGAGAACATTTGGAGTTAATGTCGAGTTAATCTGAAATGAATCTGAAATGAATCTGAAGTTAGTGTGTGTTTTGGGACAGTCGGTGAGACCAGAACAACAACATGCCAAAATGTTCTCAACTTTCAATTTAAAATATTTTTTCATTATAATAAAATGTATTTAATATAAAATCTCACCACTTTTCTTCCACGCACAGACGGGCGTCACAGATTTTTAAAATACAAAAACATGATTGACTCTTATCCACACACAGATACTCATATTGTTTTACACGATGTGCTACACGACGGTCAGACTTTAAAACCGTCTGAATCTTTTCAGTGTCAAATAGAAAAATAACGAGTAGAAAGGAAACCTCTGCTACACCTTCACATCCTGCGCTCTGATTGGACGGACAGGACAACACCTGCACCAGTCTGTGTGTGTGTGTGTTTGTGCTTCAGATGGCGGTGTCCCAGAACACGGTGGGGGTGTGTGTGTTGGGGGGGGCGGAGTATGGCGGAGGCTTCCTCCTCCAGCTGGGCAGGATGGGAAGGCTGTCCTGTTTCAGAAGATTCTTCTCCGGGCGCTGACGGCCTTTAATCTCCCGACACAGAACTCGCTTCCTCTCGATCATCTCCATCATGGTGGCGTCTCCGCACAACCAGGGCATCTGGACACACACACACACACACACACACACACACACACACACACACACACACACACACACACACACACACACACACACACGTTGTTTGAGTGGTGTGTGTTTGAGGCTGACAACATCAACACACACAAGGACACGGTCATCTACTACATTGGAAAATGCATCGATGACATTAATTAATTCCCCAATCAAAAGCCCTGGATAAACGAGAGGAGTCCTGAGAGGGGTCTGCCTGAGAGGGGTCTGCCTGAGAGGGGTCTGCCTGAGAGGGGTCTGCCTGAGAGGGGTCTGCCTGAGAGGGTCTGCCTGAGAGGGGTGTGTCCTGAGAGGGGTCTGCCTGAGAGGGGTCTGCCTGAGAGGGGTCTGCCTGCAGGCCTCCACTCTCAGGACACCTCCACTGTCAGTACAGGAAGTGACGATTCTGACGAGCACGTTTTCCCGCCCCCTCGAAGGACTCGTCTGATGGAAGTTTTTGCAAATCAGTAAGGTAAGGTGCGTGACCTGTTTGCACTATCCAAAACAATGAATGCAGTCTATTGTTTCGCAGACAAAACAACATTTATCGATATAATATATATATACTTGCAGAGCATATCATTTGCTTATCATAAGCCACCGATGGCGATATGCACTGATGGCGCTATGCACTGATGCGTCTCAATATCATCAGCGGTAAAAAAAAACGTTGATGCAGATGGAAGGCAATTGAATGCACTCATTTACCGAGACATGGGGACAAGCCGGTATGTCTTATTTGCTACGAGGCAGTGGCATTGCGTGAGAAACCTTAAGTAACCTTGCGCGTGTGTGTGTGTGTGTGTGTGTGTGTGTGTGTGTGTGTGTGTGTGTGTGCCCACTAGAGGTGGGGACTCGAGTCACATGACTTGACTCGAGTCAGACTCGAGTCGCATATTTTTTGACTTGAGACTTGCTTGACTAACATTGATAAAAGACTTGACTTGACTTTGACTTGGTATTCATGACTACCTGGAGGCTTGCCACACGTTGCCATCCACATCAGCTTCTGAACATTGCCCTGGTCCATCCTCTTCCTCACCGCAACCCAACACATCAGCTCTCTCTCCTGCTTCCATCAAGTGTCCCCCACTCCCGGCTTGATTGCAAAAGTGGCGAGCCCTTCCTTGGTGTGCACATCATGCACCATACACGCAAACCACGAACAAGAGGCATTCAAAGTTACATTGTAGTGTGATTACAAAGCCTGTACTTTTTAAAGTAAAATGTTGTATCAGTACTTCTACTTTTACCAAATGATTTACTACTTAAGTAAAGAGTGTGTCCTTTTGCCACCTCTGATGGTGTGTGTTGTGCATGAAAGAGGACCATATTGATCATTTGGATAGCTTCCTGTTTAGATCTTCATACAGCTGTGTTTTTCATTCTAGAAACCTTTCACAGTCAATAAATCCTGGACCGTGGAAAGAGACGACTGCTTTGGAAATAGAAGTAATAGTATACAATTTGTATCATTTATATTCAACAGAAATGTCAAACCATAACAAAACAACTAAATGCTTTCTGACATGCTCGGGTTTCCCCAGGCAGCTATGGGAATGACTGTGGCACCTTCATGTTGATGCTAGGCTACATTATTGGTCTGATTTCATTCTCTGTTGTTTTTAAGATAATAACATTAAATAATATATGTTCTTTCATAGTATGCCCTTTACACCGTACTAGATGCACCCTATGATTTCACTATTGTAAGTTGATCTGGCTTTAAAGTAAACTCAAAATCCCATTATGACATTTAACCTGACATACAGTGATCATATATTTCTTTCCTTTTTTAGATTGACAGGCCAGCTTTGCATGGTGTGTCATGCTAATGGGGAATGTCGACCTCGGAAGGTGAGACCACTAAAATGTTGACGTTAGATTAACTTTGAAATGGTTAAAAAACACAATGTTATACCGACAGTACCTTTATTTCTTTGTTTAACCCTTTTTATTTGAGTCGTGGCAAAATGTTTGCCCACTGGACGGAGACATCTGAGCCCTCCTGCGAGGTGAGGTGCCTCCAGTGTTCAGAGTGAGGAAGAGGAGGGTGGATGACATCACTGAGCTCAGATTTGTATTGCAATCTATTTCACTTAAGTTGTGTTTGTATCTACTCTCACACTAAAGTTTCAATTTCATTATTTCTTTCACCACTCTGTCTTTAAAAAGATATGTATTTTGTCAATATTTACTGCATTTATTCTTCCTGGTGGAATCAGTGTTTAGGACGATCTTGGAGGACAGTCCTTAAACTAAAGAATATGTTGAAAATAGCATGCTTTACTAAAAGTATGGTGGTTCATGGCAATAGTCCCTTGTATTTTGAACATTCAACGTTTTTTTTATTTTTTTAGAAAGAGGAGCAACTTCAGCCTCGTCCAGCTGATCAGAAAGATGTGGAGAAAACAATGGAAGCGCTAGGCTTGTTTACTAGTTCTATCATATCCAAGGAGGACGCCCTTTCCTTGGGTTAGTCTGCCAAAAAGCTACTTAATATGTATCAGTGGGTATGATATATGTTCTCTCTCTTTTCCGTAGCCCACATCTAAGATGGTGCAGGACTGCAAGAAGGCAGCGGAGTGGGTGGTGGCACACAGGGTGCATTTGCCCGATGCAGGGAGCATGGGGGAAGCACAACTCACAGAGGCTGTCAAGCTTTGGGAGGAAAAACCTGAGGAATGTGACGAGGACGAGATGGAGGCAATCTTAGAGCCATTCAAGTTTAGGTTTGAACAGATGGAAGACATGTGGACCTTCTTAAACAAGATCAGAGACAAAAGAGGGTATCTGGCATTCTGCAAATGCATTTCTGTAGTTTGAATAAAGGGCAACAGGAAGTTGGAACACTTTGTCCACCTTGATGATACCATGAACACCACAGAGGAACAAAGGGCAACAGGAAGTTGGAACACTTTGTCCACCTTGATGATACCATGAGCACCACAGAGGAATAAAGGGCAACAGGAAGTTGGAACACTTTGTCCACCTTGATGATACCATGAACACCACAGAGGAACAAAGGGCAACAGGAAGTTGGAACACTTTGTCCACCTTGATGATACCATGAACACCACAGAGGAACAAAGGGCAACAGGAAGTTGGAACACTTTGTCCACCTTGATGATACCATGAACACCACAGAGGAACAAAGGGCAACAGGAAGTTGGAACACTTTGTCCACCTTGATGATACCATGAACACCACAGAGGAACAAAGGGCAACAGGAAGTTGGAACACTTTGTCCCCCTTGATGATACCATGAACACCACAGAGGAACAAAGGGCAACAGGAAGTTGGAACACTTTGTCCACCTTGATGATACCATGAACACCACAGAGGAACAAAGGGCAACAGGAAGTTGGAACACTTTGTCCACCTTGATGATACCATGAACTCCACAGAGGAGCTTTACTTTAAGAGAAGCCTTGTATTGTCTCCCGCATCACACCACAAGGGGATCTAGCAGAACAAAGAACTACCAAACATGAAAAGAGTTGACATTTTAATACACAATGGAATCTAAAATGGATATCATTTCTAGCAAATAGTTGAATATGCATAATCTTAATCCAATAGTGCAGTAAAGTGAGAAATGAAGTATGTAGTGAAACAGTCTATTGTAATAGCAAACAGTAGATTAGACTATAGAGCTGGAAGTAACATCATTATACATAACATTTTCCACCTTATGACGTAAATGAGAGGCTAATCATTTTAAGAAAATAAATATGGTTCTAACTTTCACTGCCCTCTGTGGTTTCATGCTGACATAGTTACAATATGTATCATACAAGTAGACAAATCATCTTGTTCTATCAAATACCCACAGCTGTCGGTTAATCATATCATCTCAGCTAATCGCATTCAAATGACTGGAGTATAGTCGTCTTTATTTTTATGTTATTATTCAAAGATAAATAAGGAAGGGTGTGTGAGATGGCAGAGAGGTTTCAGCTCCGATTATTACATCAAAGAGGCTAAATGTTTTCTATTATTTTATTTCACTATAGCTATATGGACGGTGAAAAGGTCTAATTTTGACCGAATTAATCAATAGCGGGTGTAACTAAAATACAAGATGTCGTCTTGTATTTTACAAGATATAAATATATATACGATTTTATTTCGTATTTGCGTGCATTTCCTGTTTCAAGAAGTGGCGCTGTACTGATAGTAACTACAATACAAGGTGTCCCTATATATCTATATATATATATATATGCATATGTATATAATAAGTGTCAGTACGATACGATTTTATTTTGTATTTGCGTGCATTTCCTGTTTGGAAAGTGGCGCTGTACTGATAGTGGCGATTTTATTTTGGAATTCTTAGCGTGCACTTCCTATCCTGAGAGTGGAGGTGTCCTCAGAGTGGAGGTGTCCTCAGAGTGGAGGTGTCCTCAGAGTGGAGGTGTCCTCAGAGTGGAGGTGTCCTCCGAGTGGAGGTGTCCTGACACTGCTGCCTGCAGGCAGGCTCCCATGGGATAAACGGGGAGGTGCGTGGCAAGCTAAAAGCGTGCACTATCGCACACAGAGGTGGAGATTTGAGATTAGATGGTGGTATTCCTTATGTAATGTAATATATTTCTTTCAGTCAGAAATGTAAAGTATATCTGTGAGTTTAGAGGAATCATATATTTTATTGTGATAAAGTGAGCAAACATTGACACACAGGTAGAGAGTGATGAGCATTTGAAATGTTAGTATATCCAGCTGAAGCAGATCCTCTCTGTAAACCAGGGGTGGGGAACCTCCGGCCCCCGGGCCGTATACGGCCCGCGAGACCATTTGATACGGCCCTCGAGGTAATTTATAAACACACGCACATTTTCTTTTAAGAAATCTAGACCGCAAAATAATTAAAAAAGCGAGTGCCTGTTTTTCCTGGCCAAGGTCAGGGTCCTTGAACACAACACGAGCCTAACGTGTCATCACGTGGTATATGTCTCGTCTGAAAGGGGTGTAGTGCTGACGGAGAGCCTTGGAACGCCGCTCCTAAAATGTCAGTACCCATAAGGAGCATGCTGCAGTTTCTGCGTGGCTGTGTCTTTAGCTGAAAGCCCAGTGACGATCTGTTCATCTGTCATACTGATCATACAGTCAATCACTTTGCTGTTATTAGCATCTGGTTAGCTAGCTATGCTAACGAATATGAGAAGCTTTTTCTCCAACCAGTGAGGTAAAGGCACATCTTTATATGATCATTATAGTTGTAAAAAAATAAGAGAATAAAGTAAACAGGTATAAAATACCATATGACAGTAAAAAGGGGAGTGATTTGTAAAATATCCATAAAGAAAAAGAAAATCTGTTTCATATGGTGTTGAGAGATGTATCCAGGGGCGGACTGGGACTAAAAATCAGCCCGGGAAACTCGACCGGCCGACCGGCCCAACTCGGTACCGCTAGTCAATTGTCAACGGGGGGTGCTAGTGAATTGTCCGACCGGCCCACTTCGGTACCGACCCACTGGGAAAACTCCCGGTATTCCCAATGGCCAGTCCGCCCCTGGATGTATCCATAGATCTCTTCATGTTGCTCTCAAAGTGCACCAGATTGATGCTTTTAACTTCAATATTTAAAACAAAAAATCTTCCCGGGGGAGCATGCCGCTGGACCCCCCTAGAGGAGGTTAGGTCCCCCCGCCCACTTAAATCATGTTCACATGGATAGGAAACTACATACATTTGCACACATCTTGTGTCCATATCTTTCTGTTTTGGTGGTCATGCCACACCGTGCACATGCATGCATGCCACACCGTGCACATGCATGCATGCCACACCGTGCACGTGCATGCATGCCACACCGTGATTAAGAGGTTGCTTTTTCTTTGCACAGCATGAAAGAAAGGTGAAATTAATGGGCTGTGATTTTAGTATTTTTAAGCAGAGGTCAATCATTTGTACGGCCCTCGGAGGATGTTGAAAAAATTGAAATGGCCCTTGAGAGGAAAAAGGTTCCCCACCCCTGCTGTAAACAGTAATCAGCTTCAGAGTTAGTTTAATGTTAGTGTTTAATAATAAACCTGTGTTAGTGTCATTATTCACATTATTTATAGAGTTTATCAACACTTTAAAATGTACTTCAGCGTTACAGTTCAGGACACAAAACATGATTTACTGAAACACCAAATATTCACACAAAACAGAAAATACTAAAATAACTTTAAACTAATCAGAGAAACACTTTCAATAAGCTCAACGACTATGTTTATACTGTATGTTTATATGTTTAAATGTTTACATGTTTACTTGTTTTCGTGTTTATACGTTTACATGTTTACATGTTACAGTTCTTATATCAGTCAGCTAATGGGTCGGAGATTTCATCTAAAATGTTTTTTACTTTCTGTTCAGCAAAGGACAGACAGGTTAATAGACAGGTGTTTGACAGGTAAACAGACAAGTAGACAGACAGGTATTTGACAGACAGATAAAATAGACAGGCGTTTGACAGACAGACAGGTGTTTGACAAGTAAATAGAGAGGTGTTTGACAGACAGACAGACAGACAGACAGACAGGTGTTTGACAAGTAAATAGAGAGTTGTTTGACAGACAGACAGACAGGTGTTTGACAAGTAAATAGAGAGGTGTTTGACAGACAGACAGACAGACAGACAGGTGTTTGACAAGTAAATAGAGAGGTGTTTGACAGACAGACAGACAGGTGTTTGACAAGTAAATAGAGAGGTGTTTGACAGACAGACAGACAGGTGTTTGACAAGTAAATAGAGAGTTGTTTGACAGACAGACAGACAGACAGACAGACAGACAGACAGACAGGTGTTTGACAAGTAAATAGAGAGGTGTTTGACAGACAGACAGGTGTTTGACAAGTAAATAGAGAGGTGTTGGACAGACAGACAGGTGTTTGACAGACAGACAGACAGACAGACAGGTGTTTGACAAGTAAATAGAGAGGTGTTGGACAGACAGACAGACAGACAGACAGGTGTTTGACAGACAGACAGACAGGTGTTGGACAGACATACAGACAGGTGTTTGACAGACTGACAGACAGGTGTTTGACAGACAGGTGTTCACAGTACCTGTCTGAGGGCCGGGTGGGGGGGGTCCTGCACGGGACGTTGAGATGAAGGAACTCCTGAAGTCGACGCCGAGCGGCCGAGTTTACAAACTGACTTTGATTCTGTGGATTTTATTACATCAGTTAAAACTAACAGAAATATATATATATGAGGTAAATCTGAAGAGGTTCTGATGAGGTCAATCTGATGAGGTAAATCTGAAGAGGTTCTGATGAGGTCAATCTGATGAGGTAAATCTGATGAGGTTCTGATGAGGTAAATCTGATGAGGTAAATCTGCTGAGGTAAATCTAATGAGGTAAATCTGCTGAGGTAAATCTGATGAGGTAAATCTGATGAGGTAAATCTGATGAGATAAATCTGATGAGGTAAATCTAATGAGGTAAATCTGATGAGGTAAATCTGATGAGGTAAATCTAATGAGGTAAATCTAATGAGGTAAATCTAATGAGGTAAATCTAATGAGGTAAATCTGCTGAGGTAAATCTAATGAGGTAATCTAATGAGGTAAATCTAATGAGGTAAATCTGATGAGGTAAATCTAATGAGGTAAATCTAATGAGGTAAATCTGCTGAGGTAAATCTAATGAGGTAAATCTAATGAGGTAAATCTGCTGAGGTAAATCTGATGAGGTAAATCTAATGAGGTAAATCTAATGAGGTAAATCTAATGAGGTAAATCTGCTGAGGTAATAATGAGGTAAATCTAATGAGGTAAATAATGAGGTAAATCTATGAGGTAAATCTAATGAGGTAAATCTGCTGAGGTAAATCTATGAGGTAATCTGAATGAGGTAAATCTAATGAGGTAAATCTAAGTGAGGTAAATCTAAGCTGAGGTAAATCTAATGAGGTAAATCTAATGAGGGTAATCTGCTGAGGTAAATCGAATGAGGGAATGCTTGAATCGAGGTAAATCTGCTGAGGTAAATCTAATGAGGTAATCTAATGAGGTAAATCTAATGAGGTAAATCTGCTGAGGTAAATCTAATGAGGTAAATCTAATGAGGTAAATCTAATGAGGTAAATCTAATGAGGTAAATCTGATGAGGTAAATCTGATGAGGTACATCTGCTGAGGTAAATCTGATGAGGTAAATCTAATGAGGTAAATCTAATGAGGTTCTGATGAGGTAAATCTAATGAGGTAAATCTAATGAGGTAAATCTGATGAGGTTAATCTAATGAGGTAAATCTAATGAGGTAAATCTAATGAGGTAAATCTGATGAGGTAAATCTAATGAGGTAAATCTGCTGAGGTAAATCGAATGAGGTAAATCTGATGAGGTAAATCTAATGAGGTAAATCTGCTGAGGTAAATCGAATGAGGTAAATCTGCTGAGGTAAATCTAATGAGGTTCTGATGAGGTAAATCTGATGAGGTAAATTGAATGAGGTAAATCTAATGAGGTAAATCTAATGAGGTAAATCTGATGAGGTAAATCTGCTGAGGTAAATCTAATGAGGTAAATCTAATGAGGTAAATCTGATGAGGTAAATCTAATGAGGTAAATCTGCTGAGGTAAATCTAATGAGGTAAATCTAATGAGGTAAATCTAATGAGGTAAATCTGATGAGGTAAATCTAATGAGGTAAATCTGCTGAGGTAAATCGAATGAGGTAAATCTGCTGAGGTAAATCTGCTGAGGTAAATCTAATGAGGTTCTGATGAGGTAAATCTGATGAGGTAAATCTAATGAGGTAAATCTGATGAGGTAAATCTGATGAGGTAAATCTAATGAGGTAAATCTAATGAGGTAAATCTGATGAGGTTAATCTAATGAGGTAAATCTGATGAGGTAAATCTAATGAGGTAAATCTAATGAGGTAAATCTAATGAGGTAAATCTGATGAGGTAAATCTGCTGAGGTAAATCTAATGAGGTAAATCTGCTGAGGTAAATCTAATGAGGTAAATCTAATGAGGTAAATCTGCTGAGGCAAATCTAATGAGGTAAATCTAATGAGGTAAATCTGCTGAGGTAAATCTAATGAGGTAAATCTAATGAGGTAAATCTAATGAGGTAAATCTGCTGAGGTAAATCTAATGAGGTAAATCTGCTGAGGTAAATCTAATGAGGTAAATCTAATGAGGTTAATCTAATGAGGTAAATCTAATGAGGTAAATCTGATGAGGTAAATCTGATGAGTTAAATCTAATGAGGTAAATCTGATGAGGTAAATCTAATGAGGTACATCTGATGAGGTTAATCTAATGAGGTAAATCTAATGAGGTACATTCTAATGAGGTAGCTAATTAGTTCTGATGAGGTTATACTGCTAATGAGGTTCTGATGAGGTTAATCTAATGAGGTACATCTGATGAGGTAAATCTAATGAGGTACATCTGCTGAGGTTAATCTAATGAGGTTCTGATGAGGTTAATCTAATGAGGTTCTGATGAGGTTAATCTGATGAGGTTAATCTAATGAGGTTAATCTAATGAGGTAAATCTAATGAGGTTCTGATGAGGTTAATCTAATGAGGTTCTGATGAGGTTAATCTAATGAGGTTCTGATGAGGTAAATCTGATGAGGTAAATCTAATGAGGTTCTGATGAGGTAAATCTAATGAGGTTCTGATGAGGTAAATCTGATGAGGTTCTGATGAGGTAAATCTGATGTGGTAAAAACTGAGGAGGTAAATCTGACAAAGATGAAGTCCTATAGTCCTCAGACTCACCTCCTGAACCTCCGGACAGCATCATGGTCGGACTGACAGACGACCTCCCCATCCGGCCTGAAACCGGACTGCTCTGTCCATCTCTGTCTCTGGTTCCGTGCCTCGGCAGAGACCGGGAGTCTCCTGAGACACAACAACACCAGACATGAGAACAAGACATAAACCCTCATTTATTCATCCAAGACAACACAGAACACAGAGACTTCTCTCCTGAAGAACCAGCTTCCAGTTTAATCTGATGAAGCTTATAGTGAGGGCTGGCTCAGACTGACCTGGGACCAGCTCCTAGTTCTGCTGCTATATACTGAATACTCTCCTCTTATAGTGTGGGCTGGCTCAGACTGACCTGGGACCAGCTCCTAGTTCTGCTGCTATATACTGAAGACTCTCCTCTTACAGTGAGGGCTGGTTCAGACTGACCTGGGACCAGCTGGTAGTTCTGCTGCTATAGACTGAAGACTCTCCTCTTACAGTGAGGGCTGGTTCATACTGAGCTGGGACCAGCTGCTAGTTCTACTGCTATAGACTGAAGACTCTCCTCTTATAGTGAGGGCTGGTCCAGGCTGACCTGGGACCAGCTGCTAGTTCTGCTGCTATAGACTGAAGACTCTCCTATAAAGCTTATAGTGAGGTCTGGTTTTAGACTGCTGTGGTGCTGAGGCAGGACTCACGGTTAACCTTCACTTTCTGTCTTCAGACCCGTTCTTGTTCTAAAAAACCCACATATTGAACAGAAATAAAAATTGGAAACCGATGTGATGCAGTACTCATTTTGTACCTTCACTTCCACGGCTCTTCCTGCCTCCCTTCTTGGTCACATGTCTTCCTGAGGTGAACAGATGGTTGAGTTCGTCCAATGGGCTGGTGGGAGTCTGTGACCTCATCGACACGTTCTGCATTGATCCGTGAGTGGAGGAGGAGTTACTGAGTCTGGCTCCGCCCTCCCCTCCTCCGCGGTGGGAGGATGAGGAAGAGGAAGAGGAAGAGCGAGGAATACTTCCTCCCGCAATAAGAGCGTCGTACGGCGGCGGCCTCTTCAGGCTCAGAGGAGTCAGAGAGCGCCCCATGCTGACCGGGGACGGACATGCTGATTGGCTGCGCGGGTAACCATGACCACTGTGGGTGGAGCCAGAAGACTTGTAGGGGTTTGAGTGGAGAGGCGGAGCTGAGGAGCGTCCGGAGGAGGTGATGGTGTAGGTGGAGGACAGGTCCCGGTCCCGGTTTCGGTCCCGGTCCCGGTCTCTGTCCCGGTCCCGGTCCCGGTCTTTTTCCCGGTCTCTGTCTTTGTCCTTGCGATGGTGGGCGGAGATCTGTGGATGTTCAGCACCGCCTGACTTGCTGAAGGAAACGTTATCCATGACGGGCAGCCGGCCGGCATCCAAAGGGGTGAGGGGCGACTCGTCTGAGTTTGGCGAGCACTGAGCAGGGGCGGGGGGGAAGACCAACAGCGGTGGGCGATGCGTCAGGAGGTTGGGGAATGGGGGAGGGATGTCGCAACCCCGGGTCTCCCAGACTTCAGAGTCCATGATGGCACTGTGAGCGTCCTGCAGGAAGTCCTCCAGCATCGGGTACTTCATCTCCTCATAGACCGCCTCGCTCTGCTCGTCGTCCTCCCGACCGCTCAGCTCACGAAGGATGTTTCCCACCATCTCGATGTAGACTGGCTCCTCGCCGTCTCTCGATGCCGGACTCGAAGCCTTCCTGTTGCCGAGGTTGCCCATGTAAGAGTCGTCGAAGGAGGTGCTGAGCTGAGTGTTCGGGTTCCTCTTGGGTTTGGGAGGAGGCATTTTCTTGTAGTCCTCGTTGTAGAGATGGCATCGAGCTGCAGACAGACAGATTTTAAACCAGGAGCACAGACACTGAGCAGAATCTGATCTGATCTAAGGAGCCTGGTGTTACTGATGGTCTGACTGACGGTGAAACAAAAACAGGTCCTAACCTCGGCTTTATGAGGCTACGCCTCCCAACAATCGCTGAATTTCCTTGCTCTCACCGAGACGTGGATCACACCATACAACAACCAACCCTCCACCCCACCTTCAACACCTCCACCCCTGCAGCTCTGAACTCAGGCTATTGCTTCACCCAAACACCCAGACCAACTGGGAGGCACTTCTTATCTTCCTTAAATTGAGTTTTCACCTATTCCCACAGTTTACTCCATGTTACCGATACAATAACTTACCCTATTCAATTAATCATGGTTGTTCTCTACCACCAGGTCCTGTTGGGGAATTCCTGGAGGAATTAGATGCCCTCCTTTCCTGACGCACATTATTACAATCAAGAATTCAATCTTCTTTCTCCAACCTCAAAAAACTCTTCTCAATATTCTCAGCCCTTCTTGAAACCCCCACTCCCCCAAGTCCTTCCTCACTTGCACAGGGCCACTTTGTTAACTACTTAGAGAAGAAGATAGATGACATTCGCTCATTATTTCCCAGCTCTCCCACGGACACAACCTGTTCATCTACCTCACCCCTTCTCACACCCTTACTTATTTCCCTAAAATATCTCACTTGATACCTCTGCACGCCCAACTACCTGCAGAGGAACTGCCCACTGAGGAACTTCCCACTGAGGAACTGCCCACTGCTAAAACTGCCTCCCTCTCCTCTGTTGTCATCCTTCTGGACCTCTCTGCTGCGTTTCACACAGTGAACCACCAGATCCTTCTACAAACTCTCCAAGAACTAATAATTGGACAGCCTTCTGGGGAAAACCTGGTCTGATTAAGAGAGACGGCATTCATCCTACTTTGGAAGGTGCACATCTCATTTCGGCAAACATTTCAGGGCTTTGTGGACTTAATCCATGAGAAACTGGAGTTGACACCAGGAGGAGGAGTCACAGTCTTACCCCTAATTTCCACCGGGTCCGTCTGCGTCGCGCTACGGCCGCATTTACGGCCGCATTTACGGCCGCGTTACGGCCGCGCCGCGGCGTTCGCAAAGATCGCGGCCACTCTAGTCAATGGGTGCTATTCCACCACACGCGGCGCGTTACGGCTCAGAAGCGTCCCAGAAGCGTCTCGGCGCAGGGCTCCTCTAAAATTAGGATGAATCCTATTTTGACGCAACGCAGTAAGGTAATGTCGGGCAGGAAGGAAGTGGAACGTTCAGAGCATATATAGCAGGCATCCTCAAAGTCCAGACTCCGGTCCGGATCCGGACCGAACCACAACTGTCTCTGGACTCTGAGCAAATTATACTTTTCATATGTATTATCTGTATTATCTGTGTTATCTGCGAGACATCGCCACAACGCAACGAGTCAAAATTCTCCGCTATGTCCGCTGCATACAGCGCTCTGCATGTCTGACTGTTCCACTGTCTGTGTGTGTCTGTCAACGCTTTGGTCCAATCACATTCAGCATCCCGTCAGCGTTTCCCCCCCCCACCAACAGTCTGCGAATCAGAGGCACAGTAGGGCGGGTCTTCGCGGAATGCGGGTGGGAAAAATGCGTGTGTCGTCACTTTCAATCTGTCTGAGTCAGAGCGAGAGTTTAAAAAAAAAAAAGTCAGAGCGAGAGTTAACAGCTCATCTAGTTGCATCTGTACTGTAGCTAGTACACTACAGATGGAGCATCTTATTTCATACTCCAGCTTACTGCTTCCTGCCTACTACCTGCCAGTTACCTGCCTAAGACCTGCCAAAGACCAGTATCTGGGAATGTTAAGCCCTCCCACTATTTTCCAAGAGGGCGTTGCCAGATTTTGCCCGGAGAGAGTTAGACGCTCGTGAATTGTCAACGGGGGGGAAGGAACACACGTTCACTAAGCCGAAAAAACTATATCCGGTCACAGTGATCTGCTATTTTAAAGTAAATTCAACACATATCGACCCTAAATATAGCATATATTAAGAACGAGAAAGTGTTAACATCGTTTTTTGTAAACATATGACAAATGTGCGAGGGTGATGACATCAGAGCATCGTCCTATGGGCTTAGCCCCGGACAGGTACAACAGGTATTCACTCAGAGGGGGGTAGGTACTAAATGGCACCCATTTACATGTAGGCAAACAGTCAAAAATCAACATACAGTAGGGGGGTGGGGGATGGTGAACGGTATGTGGGTATGTGGGACACTGAAAAGTCTATGTTAAAAAGCCTCAGTCACCTTAATAGAGTGGCGAAGTCACGCCCACTTACTTCCGGGTAATGGGACCTTATTTCGGAAAAATTATGCATTGAAGTCAATGGGGAGAGAAAACTTATCTTTCGATCCCGTTTGAATTGTGCCATGTATTACACATATGATGTTTGTCAATCTTAAAAAATAATTTCCATGTCAAAAAAGTCACAGTTTGTCGTAAAACTGTTGAAATATAAGACTATGAAAAATACGCAACTAGAAAGACTACAAATCCCAGAGTCGCGTAAGTGATGTCACAATTGTTTACCTCCACTAAGAGATACCTAAGATCCATATAGATATAATCTATCTATATGGCGCTGGCTAAGATAAGATCACTTTAACAAGATGCCTGTGTGCTTAGTACCAGGTTGTTATCATACCAGCAATGGGTCTTGCTCGTTCTTTTGCTTCCCGTCTGATGAAACGACCAGGAGTGGCTTGATCAAGTTAGCTAACTAGCTAGTAGCTAGCACGTTAGTTAGCATTACAGCCTTGTCATTTTTATTAGCCTTAACATGAAGTAACATTAAGTAACACAAAATGTTAAACAGTAAGAGTAGTAGTCATATTTCGTGAACCCTTTGAATAGTACTGTCACCGGTGTGATCATTCTATAATACACCATTTAATTCCGGGGGAGAAATGCTAACGCTAACGTTAGCATCGGCGATCTTCTCTACTTCATGCTATCTGCACAAATGGTTGACATTAAACATTAAAACGACCAGGCAGTTCAGAGAGAATCAAAGGAAGGCAGGCAGGCAGCTTTGCATGACATTCTTCAGGACGTGTTTCATTGTGGTGATAGTGAGGGTAGTCAATCGTTTGTTGACAAGACAGTAGTGACGGCCATCTTGGTGACGTGTGTTGTTCTGTGAGACCAGAGATGTAGTTCATTGAGCGTTTCACACAAACAAATGTGTTACTTCAGTTTTACGACACATTTTTTTTTTTTTTGACTTGCAAAATTATCTTTTAAATTGACAAACATCATATGTGTAATTCGTGGCACAATTCAAACGGGATCCAAAGATAATCTTTCTCTCTCCATTGACTTCAATGCATAATTTTTCCGAAATAAGGTCCCATGGGGCTCAACCGGAAGGGGAGGGACTTCGCCACTCTATTCATGTAATTCTTCTGTTTATTCAACGTGGTGGGGGCCGAGGGAACCGGGCAGAGTTTTTCGCCGGTCAACGTGTGTGAAAGTTTAAATCTTCCTTATTGAGCTTTAAAACAAATGAATAACGACTATATATAATAATAAAATAAACACCTGCTGTTGTTATGCCTGCTGCAACGTTAAATTACTCCGTTCTCCACTTAAGTAATTATGCCGTTACAAGCTTCATAGTTGTATTTATCATCTAAATTTGCCGAAACAAGTTTAATATTCTGAAAACCAAGACTTTGTTTATTTGAAATCAGATGAAAACAAACTGTAACGGACCCTGCCGTGTTATCTATGATTACTATGCCTTACTGTACATTCATAATTTCAGCCGGAGGGAGGTGGGCGGCGCTGCGGAGGATTTCTAAACGAACTATTACAGCTGTTATAAAGCATTGAATAAAAAGTAATGAAAGAGATAAGGAGAAAAGGTTTAAGGAAGTAAGCAAGGAATACAGAATGTCGAAATCCTCTGTTTCACGCGATGTCGAACATTGAAGACAGAGGACGGCGGTCCCCCAATCTACACAGCGGGAGAACGAAGATCATAAAGCAGATCGGAGGAGACATCACGATCTTCCCACATTAGTGCAATTCACCTATACTTAACCCCAAATAAAAGAACCCAATAAAAACAGTTGTTAAATAATAGTGAAGTCACGTTGTAATAACAATAACTCATCTCTCGGTTTGAGTGTTCTTTTTCTGCTTTGCCTAAAGCCACTGTGTCAAGTGTCTAGTGACTATTTCTCTTAGCGGATGCATGTCAATTTAAATCAATACATACAACTATTTTTTAAATCAATAAAAACATTTTCTAAATCCATAAAAGCATTTCAATTAAGATTGGGAGTCATGTCGTTACTTTGTTGAGAATGTGGCCATGTAATAAACGGGATAATTTGCAGCGACTTGGTCATTGTGGGGAAAAATAACACCCATCCTGATCGTTTCAATGAAGTTGAATACAGAATATTCATATTTGTCAGTGATTTCATGTCAATTCGGCGAACATAAACATAAATGATCGTGGTGAAGATGATGATTAAATTAGGATTAAAGATCGGGAGAGCCGGCTGCATGCAACATAGGGGGGTGGGGGCTTGTGAACGGTATGGTCAATGTTTGTAAACACTGTGACATTTTGACTTTATTTGATCATTTCAGTTAAAAACTAACGTTCATATTTCTCTTTTTGAGAAGAGAAATATGAATATGTTAGTGGCTGACCCAGCCCCATGGTCTGTCACAGTAGTGCGGGAAAGAGAAGTGCACTGTTTTGCCTGGCTGGACCTGTAATTTACAGGAAAGGAGTGCACGCAACTAAAGAGACGCGCTACCATGGAAACCAAACAATGGTGTTGCTGTATTGAAGTCCGAGTGGAAACAGTCATATTTGGAGCGTTATGTTTGAATGAAACAGCCAGGTCGTGACTCACAAAAAAAAAGTGTTACTTCACTAACTGTAAACTTGTCACTCAGAGGAACCTACAGTTAACTTAACTGTTGG